CTATCAACCCCTGCTAAATCTATAATTTTATGTAGGCCAGGACCAGGTTTGCAAAAAGATTCATTTTTAGCCAGGGTTGGGGCCCCAGTCACTTCCTAAGAGCATGTTTAACTATGTATACAATTTGTTTTTGCACCTTGTCTAAAAAAAAAAGGGTATCATTCGAAGATTTGCTTTAGATATGGAAACAGTATTCCATACAAAGATGGGTTTGAAATTTACAGAGAATAGAATCTGGAATAAGAAAGTGGCAAGCACAATAAAAATATGCAACCTGAGCAGATGTTAATTTTGCAATTGATTTGATATACAGCTTCCAAAAAGGTCAGAAGTAAGAGCTAATCCTAGAAGATGTACATTAGAAGATGTACACCGTTTATAAATATTGAAAGGTCGTGATTGTTGTGATAATGATGAGATGAAAAAAATATATAAAGAAAAAAAATTTTTAATTTAAGTTTTATCTGAGTTAAAGTTCACCAGCTACTGAGTACCCCATTTAGTAGCAGAAGTGAGTTTCTTTTTAATCTCAAATGCCCCCTCCAAGCAATCAGAGAGTGTTGGCTTCTTATCAAGTTAAATGGTAGTATCATCAACGAACAATGCCACCTTAATGTGAGAATATCTGGGAGAATTAATGTAAACTTAAAAAAGTATAGGAAAAAGGATAGAACTTAAACTCTCCACATCTATCTAATGCACGATAAAACCTATCAGTTATTACCATTGACAAATCAGCAGTAGAACAAGAAGATCAAAATCCATATAGATGATCAGAAAGCTATTAGATTCAATATGAGAGATTAAGTGTTTGTTAATAAAAGACTCAAAATTCTTGCTTATGATAGGAAGAAGACTAATGGGGCAGTAGTTGGTTGAGTCAAATCGCTCTCCAAAATTTTTGAAAATAGGGATAATCTATGCCAGCCTAATATGAATAATGATGAAGAAGGGGTGCAAAGCTGGTCAACAGATGTAATCTATTTATCCTTTAAGTTTTTGCATAGGAGGACTTCTTTAAGACAGTAGCTGGATGCATTTAATGTCTGCCGAAGATAAGTATCTTTGTCAAGACACCATCTCCAGCCTTTACTCAACCAAGAGCCTAAAGTCAAGGGGTTTGTTAAGTCAGAGTTGGCTTCTACTAGCCTTTGCCTTAAAAAGCGTATCCTACTAGGCAGCAGGACATGAAGCAGGTTGTATTGGGTTACATGTTACCAGTAACAGAATAACCTGAACTGATATTAAAACTATTGGCAATGAATTGAAATAAATTATACCAAATATGTAATCTTGGACACATAAACTATGCATACAGTACTTATACAAAATTTTGGGTGTTATAACACCCCAAAAAGGTGTTTTTTAAGTTTTAGTTGGTTATTTGAGAAATATTATCAGTTGTTGGACATTTGAGACATTTTAGTGAGGTAAATTTTAGTTTTAAGGACCTTGTTTTTTTTAGTTTGCAGTTGGTGTTTTTTACAGATTTGCCCCCCTTATTTTATTCCTAGAATTGCCCCCCTGATCTTTCAATGTCTTGGTCTTAAGTTGACTTTTTGATATCTTGGTATTGGAATCTTAAGTTTTGATTTTGGGCTTTACTGTCTTGACTACATCTCTGATATAAAGTGTCTCTTTAAACTGGTTTCAAAGTTTATTGCTAAATAGACATCATTGCTAAACTGCTCATGAAAAAAAAACAATTCAAAATTATGTTGTTGTTTTTTTTGTTTTTGTTTTTTCAAGACTAATTTACTTCCTAAAAGGGTGAAAGGAACCACTATTAAGTTATGAGTTAATAGAAAACAAAGAAGAGAGTTTGCATGAGTCAGGAAAACATGAAGACGGATGAGAATTCCAAAACATCAAAGTGCAGAAAAAAACTAGATAAATAAAAGTTTTTAAAGCATGAAAGACAGATACAGTAAAAACAATATTGCTAAATAACAATTCAAGCAAGAATGACTTTTGGTTGATGAAACTAGAGATGAGCAGAGACCATGTATTCATAGAATGTGTCCTACAAGGAAACATTGTGTCCATTTAAATGTGTTCTACTCTTGATTATAATTAAAATTTGAAATTTATGTAAAAGGGGTATCCATATAGTACATACGCAATAAAACATCTAATTTAGGACCATTCCTCCTCCCTTGTACACACCTGTAAGCATTTAATACCCACTCCTTCTGCATCATTTATTACAAAATAAAACCCCCTCCCCCTTCAATAAATTATTTAAATAAAAAAAACTAAAAATAAAATATTTTTTAGTTAATTTGACAATTCTGTAATATAAAATAATATTAATTTTTAAACTTGTGAAACTTGCTTTTGTTAAAAAAAAAGAAATCAAGTTTTATGAAGAGATACAGGAATGAAGGATAGTCAAACTGCGTCCATACTCTCTGTTTTAACAACCACCCTCCCTTCTTTGAATGCATTCATATATTTTTGAGTCTCCCTCCTTTTATACCTGCATACATACTTTATGGAAGACCCCTAAAATACAAATTAAGCTTTATCTCTCTTATTTTTTAAAAGATTTCTTCCAAAATAAGACAAATAAATATGACTCAAAAAGAAAAAAAAAATTATTTGCTATTTTAAAAAAAAAGTAATATTTTAAATTGTTGTTTTTGCTTATACTACAAAGGAGTACCCAAAGATAATAAATTACAAAATGAAATAACTTGACTTCTCTGAAAATATTATTAAAATTTATAAACTTTTGTTGATCTATTTACATATTATTTACATATCATTAAAAATAAAAAATATAACTTACATTAAATTAAAAATTAAATTTTTTTTTTTTTTTTTTTTCAAACATCTTTGCTTCCAACAAGGCTGCAAGCAACCACTAATTAGTGTTGGAAGTTACTGGAAGAGAAAAGATGAAGATTGTAGAGCAAGATAACGATTGACAGACAACTTAAAAGATTGCAAATTATATGAATCAGGAAAGCAAGATGAAGGAAGTGAATTCCAAAGAACTGATGTTCGAGCAAAAATACTAGACAAATAAGAGTTTTTGGAGCACTTAGGAACAATCACAGAAAAAGAATGAGACTTAATTGAATGACGAGTAACACGAGAATAAATTTTAGATGGCACAAGAGACGCTAGCTCTTTAGAGCAGTGCCCATTATAGTGTTTGTAGAAAAGAGAAAGAGAAGCAACATTACAAAGATGTGATAATGATTGAAGGTTGGCTGCAAGAGCATGTCCAACTATGTTACAATGCGCTTTTGCACCTTGTCTAAAAGAGAAAGGGCATCATTAGAAGATCCTCCCAGAATGGCAACAGTATTCCATACAAGGCCGGATTTGAGATATATAGAGATAGAGAATAGAATCCAGAGTAAGAAAGTATTAAGCTCAATAAAGAGATGCAACTCTAGCAGATGCTAATTTTGCAACAGACTTGATATATGGTTTCCAAGAGAGATCGGAAGTAAGAGTTGATCTTAAAAGATGAAGGGTAGATGACTCATCAAGTCATCTACCCTTCATCTTTAGGCCTTCCTATATTTATGAACAGTCATGTAGACTGTTCATAAATATAGGAAGGCCTAAATTATTGCAATAACGATTGGCTGAAAAAAATTGAGTTTTATCTGAATTAAAGTTCACCAGCCACTGTGAGCCCCATGCTGTAGCAGAATATAAGTATAATGTATAAATATAATTAAAAAAAAAAAAAGGAGGAAAAAGTAATATACTAATAATAAATATTAAGTTAGTTTATATGAACATAAGTAACAACATTTTTAATATAGCAAATCAAATATCAAAATATTTAAGTATATTTAAAATATCAAAATATTTAAGTATATTCAAATACAATGTTTATTTTGGGAGTTTTATTTTATATATTTTTATCTAAACTGAGAACATGACAATAGCCCAATGTAGCTCAATGTAGCCCATGAACAAATGTGATGATAGTCCAAAAAAGGGTGTATACAAATATACTTAAGCATAAAAAAGACTTTGGTACATAAATCAACTGATAAGTTATGAAATGGGAATGTTGTATCTGTAAACTAAAGTAATTGTTATAGGGGAAAACATTTAATTCAAATTCAACCAATATTATATTTTATTAATAATACTATTTCCATTTTCCATAAATCATTTTAATTTTACAAACTTTTTTGACTCATTTTTTCTTTAGCTTAATTTATCATCTATTCTCTTTAGTTTAATCTTATTTAATATATCTATTGATTTTTAAATTTAATTAAACTGTTGCTTATTGTATCTTGTTGTTGACTATTGCTTGATGATGTTTCAAAGGTTTATTAAAAGCTAGATAAGCAGTTGAGATAAAAAACAAAACATGTTTTGGTCTTGGTTCGAAAAGATTGACTTGAATTACACTTTTTTTCTTTTTAAATTCATAGTAATATTACAATAAATATTATATTGTTAATAATATTTTTATTAAATTCATATAACTGATTAATTATATCATATTAATAAACTATATTATTTAGATAAAATTTGTAGTACTTGAGTTTTTTTTTCAGTAAAAAAAAACTCTTTTAAAACAGGATTAGCAGCATTATAATGTTTATTCTTTTGTGTGTTCAAAATAAAAACAACATACCAATTGAAAAACCAAAAATACCAACAAAAAAAAAATAATAATAAAAACAACATACCAATTGAAAAACCAAAAATACCAACAAAAAAATAATAATAATAAAAACAACATACCAATTGAAAAACCAAAAATACCAACAAAAAAAAAAAAATAATAAAAACAACATACCAATTGAAAAATCAAAAATACCAAAAAATAAAAAATAATAATAAAAACAACATACCAATTGAAAAACCAAAAATACCAACAAAAAAAAAATAATAATAAAAACAACATACCAATTGAAAAACCAAAAATACCAACAAAAAAAAATAAATAATAAAAACAACATACCAATTGAAAAACCAAAAATACCAACAAAAAAAAAAAAAAAACAACAACATACCAATTGATCGAATGATTGCTTTTCTCCATCCACAATCACCATTGTCTCTTCACTTTTAAACGGAACACTTGATTTTTTGGTTCCATACTCAAGTCTCATAACTGGAACAGATTCTTTTTTTTCTATAACATTTAATATACAAAATTTAAATACAAAAAATTCAAAAATCAAATAATCATTAAATGTAATGTTACATGTAATATTCATGTATTGTGGAACATTTATGTTTTATATTTGAAAATAATTTTTATAAAAACTTACCTGGACAGTATGGATTCATACAGATACGAATTTTATGATCAGGTCCACGATGATCACAAGATCTTCCTCCATTCATTGGAATAGGCTGATTGCAATAACGCATATTTGTTTGTAAACCCTCTCCACATGTTTGTGAGCATTCAGACCATCCAGACCATTGTGAATATCCTCCATCTATTTTATGGTGATCTGAAAAAATCAATAAAAATATCAGTAAATTAGTATAAAATAAATCATCAGTTAAAAAAGCTAAAAATAAAAATATGTTGTTATAATGCTAAAACTAATAGTTTTCATGTGCAGATATATCAACATTACTAAAAGATGCTTCAACATTATTTGGAGGTACACTGCTTAAAAGATAAACCGCTTTAACAGCATTATTGTATTTTTTAAAATAAAATACTGCTTTTGATTTTTTAAATACAATACTGCAAATATTGTGTTTTTTTTTAAATACAATATATTTGCAGTATTATATTTTTTAGTGTTGAAAATATTTTTAGTCATTTTTTATTTATTAAATCTATTATTACTAGAACCAACAATTTTAAATAACTTTAAAAATACTTTTATTAGCCATAGTCATTTGACGCAGTCCACACACTTGTATAAAAGATGTAGGATAAAAAATGAAAAATGAAAAATCATTAGTTATACATAACTTCAACAAGTATTCTGTATCATAATATTATTACTCCAGTTGACCAATAATAAAAAAAAATGTGAATAACACTCTCTAGCTAAAATAAAACTTGAATCATACAAAAACTCAAGTGGCATGCTGAAACAAGGATACAAATAAGAAAATTATAATTATAAAAGCAAAGCTTAATATATACAAGTTCAAAAACAAAACTTTCAAAATGTTATAAAAATTTTCATCACAAAAATTATGAAATGCACAAACTTTGAAAAGCTAAATAAAAATTTCATAATGCTTTTAACATAATGCTCTAAATCTGAGTAGATCTTTGATTTCAAGATAATTCCAAGTTTTTTATTTTTTTTCTCTCATATACTAAACTTACTATTTCTTTAGTAATTACTAATAAGGTATTATTTTATTCAATTAAAAATAATTTTGATGTATTGATCTATGGGTGGCAAGATTGTAAAATGTTGAATTCTGCATTAGTAGATTTTCAAATGTTGTTATTTGCCGAACACAACATGCTGGTCGAGTTTTCGCTAACCCATCGGGCCTACAATCCTATGCTTAATTAGGCTTTTAAAGTAACCACATTTTTCAATTTTTACTTTTAAAAGTAGTTCAAAATTTCTAAATGAAACATTTTTAAATAATTTACCTATTTTAATATTTTCTCAATGAACCAAGTCTGGTGTAGATGTGCCATTTTTAATAATATCTCAATATAAATAACATAATGTTTCCTTTAAAATCCAAGTAAATAAGAGAGTGTAAACAAGATAACTAAGTAAAAAGTAAATAAGATGGTGACTAACTGAATATTTTATAGCTATACCATTCTTCTGTTTTTTTTTATATATATTTTTAGCCAATAGCATACTAGCAAAAGAGGATAGTCAAATAAGTTAACTCTATCTGTTAGACAATTTTTTAACAATAAAAGTCTCAACAAAAAAAACTTCTGATTTGAGTAGTTATTAATATCGGTTTTGGCAGATTAACAAATTATAAAGTAAATTATACCAAGCAGAACTAATAAGATATGGAGGGTGTATAATATGATCTGCTAACTCATAAAAGTATTATAGATGGAAGTGCAACGCTTAAAAACATCAAATGTTCCGAATACCATCACATAAACCATGCGTGAAATATAAATAATTGGATATTTTTAAAAAATGGCATATTATTTACGCCTATGCAATTAATTTAAATTTTAAGTTAATGATGCTTTAAACAGTTCTTCATGATTATATAAATAAAAAATAGCTTAGAAATAAAAAATAGCTTGAATGTTGCCAAACAGTTAGTTCTATAATTTAAATAAAGAGACTGATTTTTATGAGTAAAAAAATGGTTTAGCTGATGGCTGTTGGTTCAAAAGTATATTCTGTCTCATACCTAAAAACCAGTTCTTAGAGTTTCCATTTTATAAAAAATTTTTATTTGTTTTTTCAATGTTTAAAATATCTTTTAAAATAAATATTAGCACTATTTATCCCCATTCATCTCCATTCATTAAACTTAAAGATCCTCTCAAAAACAAACTTTTTAAAATTTGACGGCTCCATTTATTTTTATTCATCTCGATAAAGACACATCAATAACAGTAATAATATAGGTTCATTACTTTGAAAAAAAATATTTGTAAATTATATTTTGAATATATAATTGTTGAAATTCAGTTAAAGTTATATTTTAAAATTATGTATAAAAAAAATTATATGCATATATAATTTTATAAATTTATATAAAATATATTTATATAAAATTATGTTACAATATATATATATAAAGATATATATCCTCCACCATATAATAATCCTCCACCACAACCAAAAATCAAAGAATCTTTGTATTTTAAATTTTTTTTAATTTTTATTTTATTTCTATTTTTATTTATACATGTTTTAATTTATTATTTTATTATAAAAATATATTTTTTATATTAATTTTTGTTATTTTTATTTATTTATTTTATAATATTTCACTTTTACAAAAACAATTAATTACAATAGTATAACTAAATTTAATCCTTGCCGTAAACCTAACCTTAAGTCTGACCATGATGCCTGGCCAAACCAAACCCTCAGTTGACATTGCAGCCCTTGCAAGTCACCCTCAGTCGACGTTTGCAGCCCTTGCAAGTCAGGCTATTTGATAGTTGATGTATGTACTTTTTGTTCTCTGTAAAAGTTTCTTATGGGTACATTTTTTTACAAAAAAAATGATGCTTGCGGGGACAAAAAATTAACGGGTTCACTAAAATGTCCCCGATAATGAAAATGTCCCCGTAAGTGTTCTTTTTTTAAAATCTGTCCCCGTAAGTGATAAAATATACATACATACATATATATATATATATATATATATACATATATATATATATATATATATATATATATATATATATATACATATATATACATATATATAAATATATATATATATATATATATATATATATATATATATATATATATATATATATATATATATATATATATATATATATATATATACATATATATATTATATTTAAGTTATTGTATTTTATGTTTAAGCAACAAAAATTTACTTAAACTATAAATTTATAGTATACTAATAAAAATATATGAGTTCTTTCAAAAAAAACTCTTCACTTCAATTTTTTTTTTTCAATAAGTGCTAATATTTATAATTATTAATTTAAGTTAACAAAAATTTACTTAAACATGAATTGGAAAAAGTTGAAAAATGTTTATTTTAGATTGAGTTTTGTATTCCAATAATATTGCAACTTCAAATTTTTTTTTTCAAAACTCTTTACTTCAATTTTTTTATGATGATGTTGGTCATTACATGTTTTATGATGATGTTGGTCTTTAAATTAAGCATAACTCAGAGAAGAGTGTATTCAATTTATTCACAGTCGAAATTGGTTCTAAATTTAGCTGCAAAAGCAAGGGTGAATACTTTTTTAAATCAAAAAGAGTAAAAAGTGTTTTCTTTGATAATTCTGATATTTGAATTTTTTAGTTTGAATATTGTTGGTGATCAACTTAATTACAAAAATTATCATGGAAGAATGCAGAAAGTTTGAAAGGTTGATACTACTGACAAACTCTATTCTGTCAAGGAAAAAACCACGCCAATATGTCCATTATCAAAATTGAATAATTATGACTTGAGCTATAATTATCTATTTTATATCATAATTCAGGGGCAGATCTAAGGGGTATCCTGTGTTGCCCAGGATTCACCCATAATATTTTAAAAAATTGTAAAAAATTCTGTTTCATAATCTAAAAAATACTAAAATTAAATTTATAATATACTAATATAAATATATGAGTTCTTTCAAAAAAAAAAACATTGACCATTAAGAAAAACATACACGGCTATAACAATGTTTCAGACTTAGCTCTCCTCCGTCATGCTTCAAACCGCCGCTATTAAAATCCAGATTCTTTTTTTAAACGGTACTGAAAGAACCCTTTTAATCAATCGTTATTGCAATGTATTTATTTTGCTTGCCGTAATAAAAGCCAAAAAAATCTCTATTGTTTCAGGATTCATTTGACCCAAATTTCCAGTAGACAACAAAAAAAAGTTGCAGGAATGTTTGATCAAAAGAGTTCTCTTGATTCCATTTATATATAGAAATGAATCCTTAATTATTCTAATAACGCCTTAATTATTCACATAAAGCCTTAAGTATTCGAATAAATTGAAGTTTATCAAAAATTAGCTATTAAGTTGTTTCTATTACAAATTTTATTTTTGTTTGCAATTATAGATTTGTTGCTATCCAATGCCATTAAAGCCAAGCATTTACCTAATATTACGACTTACAAAGCAAAGCTTCATATTAATCTCAAAGAATTAAATTCAAACGTTCCATTTGTAAACAAAGATTTTCTTTCTTTAAGAAATTCTGAAATGGAAGCTTTTATTTTCATGCAAAAAGAAAATGAAGACTATATATTTAAAGTATGAATTTAAACACATTTTTTTTTATGTTTTATTTTGTTTATAAAACAATAATTCTTGACAAATAATGTTTAGTTAAATATGTTTGTTTTAGTTATTTAATATATATAGTATATATACTAAATATTACTAAACATGTAAAGTCATAACATATATATAATATATATGTTATGACTTTACAGGTCAATGGAAAATGGTAACTGTTTTTACAACTCTGCTGCTTTATTAATAAATTCATCAGATAAAACACATGAAATTCTTTGATCATTAACTTCTGTTGAGTTGTTTGAGAAAGCAACCTTTTATTCGAGATATCCAATAATCTTAAACCAAGTGGAATCTAAAAATTTTTCTTCACTCTCTATGTTTTCATGGCATGTGTTTCATTTGAGTTTTCTGATCCTTTTACAGAATTAAATGATATAAATATTGCTGAACTTATAAAAAAAGAAGCCTATAACAATTTCAGAAACAATAAATTTGCTTCTTTTCTTTGTTTAATTGCATTATCTACAGTGTTAAATAAACAAATTCGGTCTATTTATCTTGAATTTGGACTTAAAAA